AATTTTTGAGGCCGAGCTCATTTTTAAAGGTTCGCCTTTTTATTATGCTCGAGTTCCCCGTTTCCTATGTTTGGCTTCTTTTCAAGAAGCCTTCAAACACCACTTTTTTACGAACTAGTGGTTCGTTGAAGATGAATGTTATTCTTTTTTTCTGATGCGTAAAATTATATGGATTTTTGCAATAAAGGCAAAATATACGCACAGTAATTTATTGAAAATAGTTAAGTACCTATTCAAGAATGTAGAAAAAGGTAAAGATTATATGAAATCACAATTATTCATTTACGCTTGTTCATATTTAACCCTAATAAGGCATTTTTACCTTACGCTTAGCACGATCATTCTTATTAATCGATGTATCAAAATTCTCATTCAGCGTATTTGTTCGTCAAATATCCTATACTTCTCAGGGTTCACCTACACGAAGAGAAAACTCACGTAGTGCCTCCTCGTGAAAATCCTCTCCTTCCATCCCCTCCATAAAGAGGTGGTGATGGAACAAAAACACATCCACAACTCTACTTGATCAGGAAAAAGGTGGCACACCCTTCCGGTCCTTCAACATCAAGTATACCGCTCTTGGATGCTTTCTAGGAGCACTGAAATGCAAAATACGTTTTTATTCATCGATAATATGCATTTACATCGCAATTTTGATAAAAGGCAATAATCATTGAGGAGAGAAATTATACCGACCAGAATGGGGGTCAACTTATCAGGTATGTTTGTAAGCAACAGCAAAAGTAAAATACATTACGTTTATTCTCATAAAAACTAAAATAGTCTTACTTTTTTTCTACTATGATTGAGAACAAGTATGATTAACACAATAAAAGAGTAACACCAATTTTAAAATTTCACATATATATATATTAATCCTTAAAAGGCAAAAGGGTTGAAACGGATAAACCTTCCCAGTACAGAGATACAAAACAGAAGTAGGGCTATGTGGTATGTTAAAGGTTCTTTCTTTGGTATTTGCACTATTTTTTTACAAAAAAGAATTCTCAATAAATTAGTGTATCCCACTGAGTTGGAATATGAGTATATAGTTATGTTTATATGAAAGTCTATTTTCCATATCAATAATTTATAAAAGTATCCTTATCGTATTACTGAGGATTGTGTGAAATATATGGAAAATAAGAGAACCCGAAGATCATCTATTTTGATCTGTTATGGAATGAAAATAGAAATTTTTCTAGCCAAGGCAACAAAGAAAAGGGTGAATCACCAGAAGTTTCCTTACTATTATCATCATAGTCGTATAGATCCCCCTTCCCGGGCCTGTAAATGGAAAACTCGGGGAGGACTCGAACTTTTTCGTCTGGACCATGTACGATTACCATCTCTGAAGTATTCTCCATTTCTCTATTTGGCACTTCCACTTGAATTGAAGAAGGCAATTTGGTTCTACGATGCATTTGATTCTGTAGAGCCTCAAGCGCAGCCTTTCGAATACGGCACTGCGCTTCCTCCGAATTCTTTGCTTCAATGCGCAGACACAAGTCACGTTCATCTTCCACCTTCTGTAAATCCTTAGTCTGGAGAAGAAGGTCGGAGTAATCTATTTCGTCTTGGTCTGTCGTCAAAACTTTCGCAGGCGAGGTGTTTCTGATTTCGTCTCTACAAAAAGAATTGCTGAGCCCACAAGTGAGATGTTCAGAGGGACGTTCGCACAAAATGACACTGGTGAGGTCTATAGTCGACATCACTTCTTTGCTTATTATCCTGTCCTTAGAGCTTTGTTAATAATCTCTTAAATCTAAAATGAATATTCGAGAGAACTAGGATATAATTTTTTTGTGTGTGTAAATAAATTAAAGATTTATTATCAGCTTCAAAATTTCCTCAAAAAATAGTAAAGTCAATTGAGGTGAAAATCACCTACTAATCTTTAAAGAGGAAGCTTGCCATTTAATGTATTTTTAATATGTATTGCACGTTTTGGGTTCGCGTAAAGAAAAGGGCGACTCTTCAGTGGCAACCCATGAAACTTTCCAGTTTTAGTTGATAATGCTAATCGAGCTTGACTTTTCTGTCTTTGCTTTAAATATTTAATAAACTGTAGATAAAAATAAAGAGTCCTAGATCTATTAACAGCAGAATTGCTGAAACACCTTTAGTATTGATATTGAGTTTTTCATGTTCGCCCCAGTCCATAGCCGTCCAACAACATCAACGCAGTACTGTATGGTTAATGCACACAAACTTACAGACTTAACCAAGACCTCTACCACAGTCGTGAATCCAGCTTTCCGGGCGAAATAAAGTGATAATGTCCAACGTTGTCGATGCTTTTTTTTTCACGGACCCCATGAGGTTATTTAAAAATAGATATATCGTGTTTGATCCGCTGAACAGAGAAAAATGCACTAGCCTGCGGTGTTCCCCTGGACAATCCTCTGGCAGCTCAGCGGGCCGTGAGGCTCTCTTTACATACTGCCGCGTACTGAGGAGAGAAGAAAAGGAAAAGAAGAGGAGAGTAATGTCTTCCCTTCCTCCCCCTCTCTAGCCCCCAAAAAACTGGAACACCGCCGAGATTGCACAGAGCCCCACACCATCCTCCCCATCACCACGCGGTGAGGTCACCCAGCGGTCCCAATACCCCCACCACACCCCCTGAGCGGTGAACGCCAAAAGGCGTACGCACAAAAAAATGTACCTTCAAACCCCGGCCCCACCCCCAGCGCCCGTATTTCCTTCCGCCCCCATGAGTGGTGGTGTCATGCCGATTCAGGAAAGATGGAAGTTGAATAATACACCACCAAAGCGTATCACCTTTGAAGGTTTTAAATTGTGTGAAGAGGTCCTATTGCCCTCTATGACTTCAAACGCTATATGCCATTGCAGCGTGGTCTTCAGGGGAAAAGTCCGCTGAGAACAATCTTGACAGGAAAGGATTTGCGTTGTGTCCTTATGCATAGTAAGGCTTCTACTTTCCATCCTCTCGTTTGTCCATATACGAAACTTCGTTAGCACTTTTGGGGTGATAAGTTAAACTCTGTGGTAAATCAAACCCTTTGGATTCCTTTTGTTGCCCCCCTCTCTCAACTTTTTCATTGGGAATGAAAATAGACCTCGCATATTCAGCATTACTGATGAGAACAGAAACGTTAATACCTTGTCCAAGGTACTGTCTGTCATAAATTTACCTATAAACCCACTAGCGCCGATAATAATAACACCTTCATTGGGGGTAAACCCCGGCGTGCAATCCAAGTTATATTTATTTACTAACGAAAGAGAATTTGGCCTAAGGGTGCCTAACATAGGTGTGGTCGTTATGTTCTCTAAAAGATAAAACAGCAGCCCATTGCTCGCATCCACAACCGAGGGCTCCACTTTAACCTCAGTCTTTACGATATTGGACTTTTGTGCGCATTCCTCTTAAAATGCATGGTGCTACAAGTTTGGCGTAGCTCGGTGAGCATGCATACCAATAGCATTGCAGTAATAGACTGCCTTGAAGCCTAAACCTGATGAAACTGTTATTTTTAATAAATTGGAGACATGTCAAATTGAAAAGAACAGTAAAAAAAAGAGAAGCGAGAAAAGCAAACGGATAAATGTACAATATTCATAAACAGTGCTTTCGAGAGCTCTCAAAACGCTTTGTTATTATGTGAACATATGTTATCATTCGCGAATGAACTGCGAATATAAATTTTCACAGAACCTTAATAGAATCTATAATGCAAGTCATCGTTATTAAGTTAAATAAAGAAGTGAAGCGATAACAAATACACCTGCTTATTTTTTAATCGAGGCCGCATTCTCCACTGAACACATAGTTGTCATAAGCATCTGCTTTGGTCGTCCTTCAGGCTCTTCACGAATTAACCTTTCTAATAAATCTTGACGTTCAAAGATTTGAACACCTTTTGCGCAAGCTATTCGAACCAAATCACTAGGGTGCCTCCAATAGACCTCAAACACATCCTCCACAAAACGTGAGTAGTTCAATAATGCTAAGTAAATGATTGTGTAGGCTAGCTGACCGATAATACGGTTAGAACTGAGCTCATTCTCTGAAACATGCAAAACACGTTCAACCTCTGGAGCTCTCTCTGAGGCCGCCGTCAAAAATTTCAGCTCTTCCATCAATTCTTGTGTTCCTTTGAGAATGCTTTCGAGGGAAAAAGCCGCAAGAACATCAACAGGGGTGTCTAAAGGATAAGAAGTGTTCATGACCTGATTAAAGCGCTGCACCAATGGTCGTCCGCCGCACATTCTCGTGTTTGCTGGGTAATTGACGGTGCAAAAAATAGGCATCTCGAGCAAAATATCCTCCTTGTCATCACCTGGTAGGTGAACTTGGCGGTGATCCACCTGAAGATCCAATCTTGTGTGAAACATCAAGAGAGTTTTAGAGAATATAGTTCGGAAGACGCACATACGCACCGGGGTGTCCTCTAGGTGCTCATTACCATCACTGAGAAGAAGAGGCCAGCCGAAAACAAATGGATTTGATTTCATCATACGGTTTTCCATCAAGCGAAAGTGCCCTGAGGTGCCTAAGAAGAGGTTGTGCTCCAACGGGTAATCCATTTCCACAGAACGTGGATGGCGGTTTCGCATGTCCTCGATGAACTTATTTTTAATATATGAAGGACTAAGAGTTCCTATGAGTGATTCTTTAGTCTGCTTTTCAATTCCGTTTTGCAACTCCTCATAGTACGGCAGATATTTTTTCATGTGCTCCGTGTCGACGTCAAGGAATTCGCTGAATAGCTTTTGGATGGCGCCGTAAGATGGTCTTACGGTATGCCAGAGCAGTGGTGGGAAGTGTTCAGATAGCTGAATTAGAATCTTCTCGGTGGGGCTATTATGATCCCATAACAAACGGCATAACCTATTCGGCTCATTAATAACGGGGGAATCCTCTCGATCAGGAAAAGGAAAGGCCTCGCCAATTACCGTATACTCCATGTTTTCATCACCTAGACAGAGACGCTTGCGGAGAATACTGCTCATATTCATTGGATCATATAGATCTTTATCAAATATAAATGGCTTGCGATACCACGACAACTCGTCGTAAATTTTAATATCATAAGAAATCGTTTTCTCTTTGGATTTAGAATCTTCGCGTAATTGAGAAATCCAAGCGGGTGGAGATACAGTTGATGAAGACGATAGTTGCCGCTGGGAGTACAACAAACATGGTTTCAGTCCAACCATTATGCGTCTGTACCTGTAATTGGAAAGGTACTGTAAACACAATGAGAGACGCATTTCCACCTTGATTATATAGTTATAAGTGTTTACTGATTTCTTAGGAGACCCCCCCCTATGCGCTGGTTTCTATCGATACATAATAATGATATATAGAATGATTTTAAAAAAATGGGGAAAAAGAGAGTAAATTTATTTAGTAAACTCAAAATTTTCAGATTTTCACTCTTCAAAGGGAACTTTATGTGGGGCTATTCTTTACTATTTCGTTTAATTAATCGAAAGATTAGACTAATACTACTCTTGTTAACAGGAGCTTATTGTCGCTGTAAGAAAACAGGTAATTACAGTGTTATTAAATCGCCCAACGGATTCATTTGTGGCTCATGATATGCAACCGTGGGAAGGTGATCCTTACTAAACGGTCGTGTTACCTCTGCAGTAAATAAACGGGCATATGTCTTTTCATATCTAAGTGGCGTTTGGTCCTCTGCACTGCTTCCAAATGCAGAAATCATCAGCGGCACGACAGGTAAGTAATGACGCTCAAGCGCCGTCAGCTCCCACAAAGTAGAGTTGAGCGCGTTGGAAGATGGTAAAGGGGCCTCAAGGTCGAAAGGATCCTTACCTTCGAACAGTAGCGCAGTCTGGCGTAAGGCATCTTGCTTGCTAGAAAGCGCAGTAGATACTTTGTGGTTATCTTCACTCTCTCCTAGACATTTTGTGGATGTTGGAGATACCAACTGGCCACTCTGACCCTTCAAAACATCTTTGGATAATTCATTTCCTTCCTCCGGTAAGACTGCTTCTTTGGAAGTTCTATGGATAAGAGCTAAACAATTAGGATGAATCTGGAGTACTTTTCGTGTGAATGGGAGCACAAAGGACAATACCGGTGCAGGAGCTACCAACGAAATGCGTAAGATTTTTTTAATAAAACTTGCCGCGATGTAAGATGGCACTCTTACAGACGTCATGGATAAATAAAGAAGTTGAAACATTTGATAACGATGACGAGAGGCAAACGCATCTGATGTAATCAGACTATATAACTGTTCATAAAACTGTGGATACTCCAACCCGTGATCCAACATGAGCACAAAAAGACCCTGAAGTGCCATGACTGATATCAAACCCCCACTGCTAAAGCAAGAGCTTAAATAGTCAGCAAGTATAAGTGGGTTGTTTAGGCTTGGCAATATCACAGGAGCAAGACGATGAAGAAGATGAATGTGAAGCGACGTTTCATCAGCATACTCAATGCAGCGCATCCATATAGCTGAAAAGAAATGTTTGTGTGCACGCTCAGAAAAAATAGATAGCACGCTATTCATAAGAAACTTCCGTCGTTCTGATGCATTAGCGTTGAGATAGGTATCTCCAACTTCAAATTGTTGCTTTTCTTTCTTAAGAAAGGTCCATCGAAGGGTCATGTGCTGTAGATCAGGCAATCCACGATTGCAAAAGAACACGAAAGTGTTTACGATAATATCAGTCAAAGATTTATCGTAGCAGTCTTTGGTTTCATTTACACTTTCACTCATGGATAATCGCCTACGTTTTCGGAGCTTACAATCAATGATGCTAGCCGCGCTCCTGAATAGGAAAAACCATACATCATCAGAGGCTACAAATTCACTGTTAGGGTCACTGAGAACCTCACGCATTTCGGCCACTTGTGGACTGCACATGTCCGGAATAACATCATCTCGCACAGGACAAAGAAGGGGTGATTTCAGTAAGTGATTGAACTCCAGTGACACTTCAGTATCAAAAACTCGACACAATGTCGTGTAGTTTGAGCACTTATCACATTTTTCAAGAGCGGATATAAACTTTTCACACAGCATTGTCAAATGGTCCGTTTCAGAGACAGGCAAAAAAACTAAAAGGTCTGATAGGATCTTTGTATATTGGCAAAAACATTAACATTCAAATAGAAAGAAATCGTGTAAAATGAACCACAAATCAATACAAATGCAAGCTGAAAAAAGGCTTAGACAAACTACACAATCACATTTGTTACTTTTAAAATGTTTATGTTATAAGAATAAAAAACATTTTTTCTTATTTGACGTTCATTGCAGATGCAAAAAAAACGTTAACAGTGAACAGAACGCTAAAAGCATCTTCAGTAATAATATTTTGGTGAAAAATGCTACCTTCTCTAAACTTTAGCTGCGGATTGTATGGAATTATTTACAAATTTATTATTTCAGAGTTACTTACCCCTCGCATATGCAGCCTTTTTGCTGTGTCAATGACAAACTAGCAA